TACATCTATGAATCGGCCATTTAAAAAATGTTAGTAACAATTTATATTAATACCCTAGAGCTATGAAATCTCTTGTAAAACTCACATAAAATAAAATACTCATTCTTTCATTAGCCTTGAATTTTAATAAACGACTGTTTTACCTTTAATTAAATATTTTTTTGATCATTATAACTCAGGGATTTATATGACCTAACCATCACGACTAAACAAATAAGGGTATCAAAATAAATACTAATCACGTTTATCAAAAATTAGTATTCCTGTAATATAAATACACTTATTACAGTATTTTTTTTAAAAACTAATAAATGACTATATATATTAATATCAGTAACATTATCCTCATGAGAGCGAAACAACAATTTAAGCTATCGGTAACAGAGTTGATTTAAGGTCAATGGAGTTCATCATAGCATATTGATTACAACAATATTAGCACAAATATAGAAGAGGCTATACTAGCTTAAATTTAGTTCATTTTAAAAGCAAAAAGAAGTACAAAATAATAAGTTCCAAACTGAACTCACTTAATTATTAAAGTATTGACAGTCATCTGGGATATAATGGTAAGTTTGATATTTTCTTTCGAACTCTTCATGATGTTTTTCTTAGAAATTTATGCAAAATACTTTAAAAGATACGAATAAACAATCACAAGGATATGTTAAGTAATATAAAGGTAGAATGCATAATTTGCTGACCACCTCCAAAGACCTCTAGAATAACATTAGGATAGTAATTCCAAAGTATAGTCATTCATAGTATAAGTTATATGAGTATTTTATTACAAAAAAAAACAACCAAAAAACGTAAGGATCGGGAGTTGGGTTAATATTCATGGTTAAGGTTCCAACTCCATATATTATGTTTAGTTTTTGGTCACATTCTCAAAGCAATTTTCGAAGCTGCCATACTTCTTCATGTTTTAGTATTAGAATATTAACAGTCTTAGTAGGTAAGTAATGATAAGTTATACTGATTTTTTATTCAGCTATTAATAAGATACAAGCTGTGAGTCACTGATTTTGGAAATTAGTGCAAAACTACAAAAGCCGCCACCTTTAAACTGATTGGTCAATCAATAAACCTTCTTTTTACCAAATAAGGTTGAAATTCTCTGATAGAAAAAATCGCGTGCAACTAGATGAGGAATGTCAAAGTTGGCTGGGGATAAACTCCACGTTATCGAGTCATCTAAGTGTATCATGTTCAGGAACTGAGGTTAAGTCTTCGTTCATTTAGTTATTCAATTGTTGATATTTTTGGATACTTTCTATTATGGAATTAATTGAAGTATGAAATTTGCTGTGCTGTAATTTTCTTCCATCATAACTGAGTGCGCTGCACTCGGCACCTCTATAGCATGATGGAGTGATATTTTCATCGTAGAAAGCTTTACATTTTCTATGTAAGTCACCAAAAGTGACAGATACAGAAGCACGCCCTCCATAATGGATCAGGATAGTGCAAATACTGATTCTGTTGCTAGTAAGTACCGAACCGAGCTAGCTTCTAGGCTAGCTACCATTCCACCGAAAAGTATAGATGAGCATTGGTTGCAATTGCATGACGCCAGGAAAATGGCGGGTCAAGTCTGTTGTGGGTTCGCGAAACGTCCCGCTTACAAGCACTGGGTTTCTTCTGGTTCCTTACAACTGATTGAAGCCCGTCGGTCTACTCCGGGTGACCGTGAGTTTGACCACAGAGGAAGGATTTTACGTAATGAAATCGGTCAAAGCTTGCGTAAGGACCGTGAAGCCTGGTGTTCGGAGCGTGCTAATGAGCTGGAAGCAGCAGCTGCATCTGGTAATTACCGGAAGCTCTTCCAACTCATCCGAGCCACTGGCAGCAAGACGTCTGGTGTGAGCGAAACAATCTGCGAGGATGACGGAACGCCAATCACTAACATCCATCGACGTCTTGGACGATGGGCAGAATTCTTTGAAGGGCAGTTCAACTGGCCTGCTGCTCTGGCAACATCGGTCAGACTGTCCTGCCCTCCATGGCCGGTGACGACTGATCCACCAAATGAGGCTGAAGTCCGCAAAGAACTCCAACTCTTGAAACGTTACAAATCACCGGGCCCAGACGACTTACCTCCGGCTCTTTTTAAAGATGGTGGTGACTTTTTGACTAAGGGACTGACGACGTTGTTTACAAAGATCTGGGAACTAGAGAGTGTACCAACGTCATGGAATGAGTCGATAGTTGTCCCTATCTTTAAAAAGGGTTCACGTTGTTTCTGTAACAACTATCGGGGGATAAGTCTACTTCCGATTGCGTCCAAGCTATTGGCTTCCGTTATACTTCGTAAGTTGCTCAAAACCCGAGAAGGATTGACTCGCGAGGAGCAGGCTGCATTTCGTTCTGGTCGAGGATGTATTGATCATATCTTCACCCTCCGCCAAGTGTTAGAACACCGCCATACTTATCAAAGGCCAACAATCGTAGTGTTTCTGGATATCAGGGCTGCCTTCGATTCGTTGGACAGAACTGTTCTCTGGGATTGTCTATTGAAGAAGGGTGTGCCTGAGAAGTTTATTAACATCCTAAAAGCCCTATACACAAACACCTCAGGCAGAGTGAGGGCATACAACCACCTTTCTTCATTGCTCCATTCAAGCAGTGGGGTTAGAGGGGGTTGTCCAATCTCATCATTCCTCTTCAACTTTGCCATCGATGACATTCTGGAAACAGCTCTAATGGATGTAAGTAATGGTGATGTGGATCTGTTGCCTGGAGAAAGACTTCTCGACCTTGAGTATGCGGATAGTATTGTCTTACTGTGCGAGAATACCCAAGCCATGCAATCCGCACTTAATCAGTTGGCAATCAATGTCCGTAGGTATGGTATGTGCTTTGCACCTTCGAAGTGCAAAGTACTCCTACAAGACTGGCAGGATTCTAATCCTGTACTCACTCTGGACGGTGAGCAGATTGAAGTAGTCGAGAAGTTCGTGTATCTAGGTAGCTGCATAAGTGCTGGTGGTGGCGTGAGTGATGAGATCAATGCACGCATAGTGAAAGCCAGAGCGGCTTATGCCAATCTGGGCCATCTTTGGCGCCTTCGTGATGTTAGTCTGGCTGTAAAAGGTCGGATCTACAACGTGACGGTGAGAGCAGTTTTGCTCTATGCTTGTGAAACCTGGCCTCTCCGAGTTGAGGATGTTAGACGACTCTCTGTGTTTGATCATCGTTGTCTTCGAAGGATTGCTGGCATCCAGTGGCAACACCATGTCAGTAATGCAGAGGTTCGGCATCGTGTGTTCGGTCACAGAGACGATAATGAAATTGGTGTCACCATCTTGAAACACCGACTTCGGTGGCTTGGACATGTTCTACGAATGTCGTCCCAGAGAATTCCACGTCGTGCATTATTTGCCGACTCTGGGACTGGTTGGAAAAAGCGGAGAGGTGGTCAGTATATGACATGGTGTCGTGGTATGAAAGAAAGCTGCAAAGGGCTGGCTTGTGTTGGTCCTTCACGACTCCCTGGTTGGGGTCCGAAAGACGGTGTAACGCAGTGGCTAGAGACGTTATCAGCTATGGCTCAGAATAGAAGCCAGTGGCGATCCTGCTGTAACCTTGTTTTACTTTCTTCATAAAAAGTGGTTGTATCTTCCTTAACTGAAAGATTTCTTCTGATTGTACCTTTCCGTTTTCCCCATCATTGTTCTCTCTCTCTCTCTCTTTTTATAATTCCCCACGTTCATTACCTTTTTCTTCTCCTTCTCTTCAAATTATCATTGTTTTGTGTGGCGCATATATATTTGGTGCCCCCCTGTACCAATATTTATGTGTTCAAATAAATAAATAAATAAATACTGATTCCAACCAACTTGATTGGTTTCCTGGTGCAAGTTCAAAAGTTCGAACGAGTGGACAGAAGTGTTAAAAAAAATAAACGCCAGTTATTCATACGACCATAGTAGCTCACTTGTAATTGAGTTTGTTCACATTTAACTCGATTAAGCCCTTTTGTCAACTTATTTAACAGACAGAGACATCCGTACAACAACAACTTATCTATACGATTGTACCTTTATTATTGTTGCATTTGTATATATATGTATGTTTGAGCATTGCTTACTGCCTTTTGCATATATTCATTCTGCTAGCTTTAATATTAGTCGCTCAATTTATTCGATGATTCATTTATTTCGCTATGTATATATGTGTACATTTTAATCCTGTTCATTGACTCGCTCCTTCGACTAGTACGCTTCTCCATTTGCTTTTTGGCACAACTCTTTGGTACTTGCTTAGAGTACCTATAATTTTGGTTATCAGTGAGAAGTGCAATAGTGAATGTAATCAACACTTCGTATTCACCTTTTGATTAATACACCGTTGAGGCGTTTTATCTAGTGACAGTTATCAGGACGAACTATATACAAAGCTTAAGGATTATATTATGAATACCGACCACCACCATTACCACCAATACATAACCACTAAAATACTTATTTTCTCAAAGAAGTACAACCCTACTATAATGCAGTACCTGATAATTAAAATCAAATAACAGACAAACACAAAAACTATAATTTGAATTTTTATTTATTTAAAATTTATATAAAAAGCTGGGTGTCGTTTTCTCTCGTGCATCTATAGATAATAAGTAATTAAAAGAAGAATTCAAATTTATTATTATCCATTAATTTTCTTTCATTAGAAAGTGAAAAAAAAAAAATAATCAAGAGTATAAACAAGGGGAGATTGAATAAACTATCTATTCATTATTATTAATATACAATCAGAGAATTAATACTATGCAGTATTAGTATACACACAGTTGCTTGTCATACATGATATCAGAATCAGAATAATCATTCATAGAAAGATAAGCATGTTTCCAAAAAAAAACTTCGGTAGACATAAGTGTGTATATGAATAATATCGGAAAAAAATCACTGAACATTCTGAACCCTAGGTAGATATAAATCATCACCTATATATATATATATATATATATATATATATATATATATATAGTTCGGAAGTTAATGTATACAAGTGTCTCAAAGGTTGAGATCACAAAAGGACAATAGTTATTTTTATTCGATAATTAAACTGAATAAAAACATTATTCTATTTAACTTGTTCCAATAAAAGAGTTAAACATTTGATTAAATTACGTAGATGTGCTTTTTTTATTTCATCAGCTGTTTGATCATATACAGAATCAAGAAATTCACTTGAACTTAATACATTAAATACATGTTTAATACGTTCAATAGATTTTTGACTTAAATATGATGAAACAGCTTGACAAATAATCTCTTTACAATCATCTAATTGTTCTTTAATAAAATTATAATTATATGTATATTCCGTTTGAGCAAAACTTATTAATGTAAGACCAATTGTACGACTTTTCTCTTTTATTTCATGTATATTTGTATAATCTTCTTCAGTTAAACTTTGTTGTTTTGATATAACACCAATTTTTCCAATTGTTTTAATTAAATATTTATATAATTGTTTTACATCTTTTTCAGGTTTTATATGTAATTTCATTAAAGAACGTAAAGCTTTAAGTGAATCGTATGCTCGTTTTCCAACTATTGATTTGATTGATTGATCATTTTGTAGAACTCGACCGATAATACGTTTTTGTGCACGAAACCAAACAGATTGTGAATTCTTTCTTTCTAAACCATTATTTAGTTTAATTTCATCATCAGAACTCAAACTGATTTCATCATCATCATCATCATCATTTTCATCTTCATCTTTGTCTAGATGACCATTATTACATGGATTTTCCAGAGCATATTTTCCAATAGGCGTCACCATAACTTTTGGATAAAAAAAATCAATTAGAATGAATAAGTCAATTGAATTGAAAAATCTTGAAGTATTAGTTTAACGGTTAATGTAACGAAACTTGAAAGAAATTTTTTATAGGTCTAGAAAACAAAATGATAAATTAAATTCATTAGAATAGCAAAACTTCTATGGATAAAATCCATTTAGACAGCAAAGTTATCATATATATATAAAGTTATGAGAAAACTCCACCTGTGGTACTTCTAGGGCTAAAACCTGTCCGAATCCCGGGTAATAAATGAGGGTCGGGCAGAAGGTCAGCAATCCCATCCCGTAGAAAACAACCTTACGAAAAAAACGCTAACCCAAATAAATAAACTAAAACATTCAAACTCTGACCGCCGAATTCAAGGACATTCATTCAGAAGAATTAAGATGCTTTATGGTGAAAGGCAAGATTCTTCAGAAGTCACAAGGCTGATGCCCCTCCTAACAACCACAGCAACAATTTCCGGACAATGTGGAAGACCGGGACGACCAGTCAAATAGCAACGGAAATGAGGGAATACAACTTGGTCGTACTCAGGACAGATGGAATCAATTGGACCCAAGCTGGACATTAAAGGTTAGATACGGGAGGGATGGTGCTGTGCTCTGGCGGCAAAGAAGATAATGCTTCACACACTCAGAAATTTGTTCGGATGTTATCCGAAGAAGCTTGAATAGCACTTATAGAACGGGAAGTTCATGAATTCGAATCATCAAAGCATCCTTCAAAACAAAGAAGGGGGGAATCACAATCAATGTTATCCAGTGTTACGCACCCACTAATGCTAGCAACGACGACGATAAACATCAGTTTCACGAGAGACTGCAATCAGTCAAGGTGAAGTGCTCAGGAAGGGACCTGACCATCCAGGTAGGAGACCTAAACACCAAAGTCGGAATTGACAACACCGGCTATGAAGATATCATGGGACAACGTAGAGTGACAGGGAGAAACGAATGAGAATGCTGAGAGATTCTCAAATCTATGTGCATTCAACAAAATGTTTATAGGTGGCACAATATTCCCATACAAACACATTCACATCACTACATGGGTCTCACCGGATCACACTACAGAGAATCACATCGATTATATTTGCATCACTAAAATATTCAAACGAACAGTGGAAGACGTGAGAACCAGGAGAGAATCTGATATAGATTCAGGTCACCATCTACCTGGTGTTTGATAAGATGAGACTGAAGCTACAGATGCACTGGACAACTGGAGAAACAGCATTGTAAAGGTTCAATACAGCCTTTCTTCGAGATACTAACAAACTCAACCAAATCGACATAGCTCTCAACAACTGGTTCCAAACCTTATAATGTCTACTGAAGGAAGAAACTGCTGTGGAGAACAATTGGAAAGGGATCAAAGAAGCACTAACTTTAACGTTCCAGGAGGTACTGGATCGCAAAACGCATCATCATAATGAATGGATTTCTATGAAAACCCTGTTTTGGATTCAAGAAAGGAAGAGCAAGAAGACAGTAATCAACAACGGTCGATTAAGAACAGAGAAAATCAAGGCGCGAGCTGAGTAAACAGAATCAAACAAACAAACAATTGAAGAGGAGCATTCGTAGCTGATAAGCAGAAATACATGGAAAACCTAGAAACGACAGTTGAAAAATCTGAGAGAGAAGGAAATATCAAACAACTATATGACACGACGAAGAAACTGACACCGTGACATAGTAAACCAGATAAACCGGTCGAGGAAAAAAAAGGCAAGACAATCACTGAGATTCAAGAACAGAGGAACAGATGGGTGGAACACTTTGAGAAACGCTTAAATGGACCACCTCCACTGAACCCACCAGACATCGAAGCAGCACCTACAAACTATCCTATAGCTCTTACTACACCAACGATCGAAGAAGTCAGGATTGTCATTAGACAAATCAGGACTGGGAAAGCAGCACGACCTGACAACACACAACATGAAGCACTGAAGTCACATATGGTAGTAAGTGCAAACATGCACCACGTTCTATTCAGAAAGATTTGGGAGGAGTGACGAGTGCCACTGACAGACTGGAAAGAAGGACACTTCACCAAGATACCAAAGAGAGGATATCTGGGCGAATGTGAAAACTACTGTCGGTATGAGGAAAGGTTTTTGACAGAGTATTGCTGAATCGTATGGAAGTTTATTAGACACTCAACTTCGAGATCAACAGACTGGATTCCGTGAAAATCAGTCGTATACGGATCCAATCGCGACGCTACGGATCGTCGGTGAACAATCAATTGTGTGGAACTCGCCTCTATACGCCCTCAAATGCCCTGGTACGACCGAGAGTGGAAAGAGTTCGCTCACCCTCTCGAAATGCTTTCACATGGTCACTCATATATAGAGCATATGCCAGAGAAGTCCTACTCACTGCCTTCTCGTGGCGGGGGTGTTGTTTACGAAATTTAGAGGACGAAAATAGAATGTCCGGCGCTTTAACCGGGTTGGTGGACATGGAGAGTCCATCTAGGAGAGTTGGAAAACCCTGATTCCAAACCAATGGTGCACATGGGATCCAGTATCCTGGGGGAACAAATGGCGTACGAACCAATCGTTGGTCACCGGTTACCATGAGACTGCATCTCCTTACGTTGCTCCACTGCCTTGTGGATCAGATTTTTAGGTCGAAGGCTCCGGGTGTGACCTCCTAAGAAAACCACTTAATGTGAACAAGTAAACGTTTCTCATGTTATTGATGTAAATCAAGGAAATCCAATTTATTGAAAAGGTCAATCAGTATTTATAAACCCCGCATAATTTAAGGTTCCTGTGATAGTCCCGATTGTAAGTTTGCGAATGTGATTCTTTATTGAATTTAGTGTTGAGATCGTACCTCAATTACCTCTGTAAAGTGTTCTATGGGTGAAAATGCCGAAATCACTTGTTGCTATAACTTTTCAAAGTCAATTTGTCTTACTTAGGTCATGTTTAGAATAACGTAAGATTTTTCACATATCGTATGTTTTTACTGGTATGCAAATCTCCAAGGTCAAAGGACTTTCATAAACAATGCAAATGGTAAAGATCCATTGCTATTAACAATGAACTAAGGTTGAAGTAATTAATAAGTGTTAAGCCATATGAGATGGCAAACTTCATTAAATAATTTATAAGTTAGCACTAGAGGATTGAATTCGGTTATCAACGCTAGTGTTTAAAATACGTCTTTGCGTAGAGTTTGCCTAAAAAGCCTGTTGTATATTGAAATGATCGAGAAGACACACAGGGACATGCGAAATTTCACACTGCGTAAACTATATTTAAATTAATTTTTCTTAGAATTCAAAGTTTATATGTAGGACATTCATTCATAATCCCCAGAGGGTTTGGTGAATATAAGCGTTATTTCAATTTGTCAAAGCACATTACGATGATGAGGTGAAATTAGCCTAATAATTATCAAAAAATTCGAAACACTGTAGTATTAACGACAAAATGTCCAAAGGTTGAGTATGTGGTTCGCGATGGGACGAAAAGACATTTATGAAGGGATAATAGAATCAGGAAAAGACAGAGTGAATGCATCCGCTCCATTCTGACAATTTTGGAGTCATTCTACCTTTTATCTCCAGCTACTGATCCCAAATAAATAGTCTGTATATATTCAAAAATAATATGTACAGACAAACAGTCACATCATGTGCAGATGCTACATTTTGGTTTGGTCTCCTCTGTCTTCTCTATAACCGACTACATTTGCAAAAATTTCACGAACAGGTAAGTAGTGTTTGATTACTTAGTTGTTACGACCAGTTACATCTACCAAGCGGAAACCACCTGGATAAATGTTAGTAGGGTTAAAGCGTGTAGTCTTCTAGCAGTTCTCTCAGTAACCAATTTATGGTTAGCTGATATAACGAAAGCAATGAGTCAAAAGTACATCCACAAAAAATTTGATAGTTCGGAGGCATATAAAGGTCATACTACGTATTGTACGCACGTTCCCATGTAAACATCACGAATTCAAATTTATCAGCAAAATTAGTGGTTAACCAGTTATAACATTTTATATTTGAGGTTCATTTACCCTTAACTATTCATTTATTTAAAGTTTTGTGTCTAGAGTTAGGCGAAGAATAAGAACATATTATCATAATATTTAAAATCATGAGTTGTATTATGGAAAGCACAAGCAAAGAAAAAATCATATACAGGTGAACCATAAAATCAAAACCCCAACAAGCAAAGTGTCTAAACAAGTTCAATTTTATCAGTATTAATGCATATTTGCTGTTGTTTTGACAGAAAACTTAAATTAACAAGGAATAAGATGATATCATGAAATAGCTTGTATCTTTAAAGCCTCATATAAAACACCGGATTGCAAATGTGTTTTCGAACTAATTAATCAGGCTATTCAAATTTTAGACAATAATATCCTTCATAGTAATCAATCAGATAGGTAAAGTTTGAATGATGCAGTATTGGACTGAAAAAAACTAATATGTTTAATCGAACGCTCACATTACTGCATCACGAAACGACAAGTCCTACAAGTTTACTTAAAACCTGATATACCCCTTGGAACGTTCATATTTGAGAACGTAACTGCTGTTTTTTAAAGGCAAAACAATACCAGGATATGATTAATTAACAAAGAACCTGTGTGGCTTTTTACAAAACACTTTTTATAGGACACTGGTGAGTAACATATATGCAACGAGTATTCAATGTTTTTGACAGGCCAATATTCGATTGATTCCTTTGCTCTCGCATGTTGACGCTATGATATGGTTTCAAAACTTTGTTGTCAACCAATGTATGCAGTTCAGCCACTCGTCTGAACTAATATAAGTTAAATTAATAGTTTATTAGGGGCTAATCTTTCTTGAGTATAATTGAGTGCGTTGCTAGGATCATCAATGACAAGAATATGATTTCACTACACGCCGCATTTTATAACCATTCACGTCGTCGTATTTACAAGATTCAAAAAGTTAGATATAGACAATGTAAAAGTAACCTCGGTATATCTTACGTAATAACGTGAACAAGTAAAAAATTTGTAATGAACCAACCTACAACAATTTGTCAGTTTGAGGAATTAAACAATAGTTATTGTACATTAAGTAACTCAGTTATGCAAGTCCTGGCAGATTCCGAAAAAAGTTTTTAAAGCAACAAGTTTGATCAATTAATTCTCGTATTAGTTGTTTTAGGTCTTTCGACGGGCTCAAACGGTTTAAATGTTTATGGAATGAATAGACGAAACCTCTTAATGGGCTTCCATATCTAGTAGCAGCGGATTACCGATGCCTCCAGGTTGGAACCTAAGCATTTTAAAAGGTACAAAGAAAAGTATTGGTGAGTTATAATGAAATAGCATTCCGAGCCTTTTCAAGTATGTCAAGTCTTGGAAGACTCCTAGGTAATTACTTTGGTTTGACTGCTCGTAAAGTTAAGAACGTTTACCGCATTTTACCGCTAGCTCCGGGATATCACCTTTACACATGTATTTGTACTGAGCTTATATCAGTACATAGGGGCTGATATCATTGTTTACTAACTTGTTTACGCCTGTTGCCCTTCATAAATCGGCATAGGCCGCCTACCAGCGTTCTCCACTCAACTCTGTCCTGGATAATCCTTTCCAGACGTTTCCAGTTGCTATTCGTGCCTTCTATGTGGGCTTTGAGTTCCCGGTCCAGTGTGTTTTTCAACATTCCACTTTTCCGTTTCCCTTTAGGAACCCAAGTTAAGGCTTACTTCATGATGCAGTTTAACGGTTTCCTCAATGTGCATCGTAGCCACTTCCACCGTTTCGTTATAACTTCCTCCTCAACACAAAGCTGGTTTGTTCTCTCTCACAGTTGGCCGTTTCTGATAGTATCCGACCGACTGACATTCAGTATCCTACGTAGATAATTGTTTATCCATGCTTGTATATTTTCGATGATGATCATGGTAGTTCTCCAAGTTTCAGTTCCGTACAGTAGAACTGTCTTCATGTTCGCATTGAAGATTGTGAGGTTGATGTCGTCTTGCGGACAATTGTTTTTAATAGCATATGTTCTTCAATTGTAGCGATACAACCCCTGCTTTTCCAACCCTTGCCTGTACATCTGAATCAGATCGTCCGTGTTCATCGATGATGCTGACCAGGTATGTGAGAGATTCCGCTCGTTCTAGAATTTCTCCATCAATTGTGATCGGGTTGGTGTTCTCCGTGTTACATTTGAGAATCTTCCTTTTTCCCTCGTGTATGCTGAGGCCTACTGATCCAGAGACTGCTGCGACACTAGTTGTCTCCATCTTCATTTCTTGATTACCCCGAATAATGTGTAGGTTCACTTCTAAGTTGTTTATTCTCAAACAGGTAAAAATCCAGTGATTTAGATTTCTCGTCATTGGGTTTGAACTTATTTTCACGAACTAATTCCGTGGCCCGTCACTAGTTACGTTCCATAAGGTTTTTTCCTTGTGCAATGAGCAAAGTAACACTATTTTTATTTACTCTAAATAGGATACGAAGGCACTTAGATCTTTTACAACTTGCAACACCTCAAGATGAGGGTTATTTATGTTTGATGTATAGTCCGCAATATATCTCAAATGGACCACATTTCATTCCAAAGTGTTGAAAGCAATTCCGTTCTTATCTGTTGCTCATTGAAGTTTAGTAAGATCCTCCTGAGTTGTCAACTTCTCATCCTGTGTGCAAACTGTTCTTCAAAGCACAACGTTGTCACTGAAAACGTTTGACTACAAAGATTGTTTGGGAGAATTGGTGGACTTATTATTTCTGCTAACTTGCATCCAGGTGGTAAAACAAGGTTATTGATAAGAAAGGAGGTATGTTCCGCTTTATTTACCTCCAGATACTGGCTGGTAAAATAAGTCAGTTGGTAAACGCAGTAGTGAGAATGAATTGCTACCCATGTAACTTAATTAGACCTTTAGCATTCTTGTGAAAAACCACACAGAAGCTAAATAAAGCAAGAACGAACATGGATATAGAATTATATGTTGAACCGCAACTCATGTAGTTCTTAGGATGACATCTACTTAACAATATAAATTACTGGTAATCTAGTAAGTGTTCTTAAGCAAATGCACAATAAAAATCAGATTATATAAAAAAAACACCAGTCTTATTTGATGAGCACCATGTAAAATAATGATCATTATTCAGCTTTCGGAAGAAAAAGTATGTGCCACACTGAGTACACAAGGTTAGGATAATCTTGAATCAGGTTGTTAATCAATCAGATAAGAAATTTCCATTTCATTACGCCTATTCCAACATATCTTAAATAACCACCTGCTTGATTTGTTTTGTTTGATATGCCTGAAACGCTACATGACCCAGTTACTGATCACAGAACTTATTGCTGCCTGATAAACAACCACTTTGTACTACAGGTTCCTCAACACCGTTATACAGAATGGTTCCAACATTTTGAGTCACAAGATTCCATTTCTTATCGAAGGATTGCACAAAAATGTGAATAAAATATAGGATTGGAGTATCACAAAACACATACCTCTCGGTACCAGAAAATGTGAGATGCTAATAAGGAATATTAATGAAGCATTCACCATGTACTTTCTAAGTGATTCAAGTATTACACCTATCGCCACAGAGAAGAATTTAGGTATAGGTTTACGCAACACTCGATATATCCCCTTTTTCAATGAAGAATTCAACGTATGTGGTTGACTGTTAATCATTAGCGTGAATATAATTATGCTAACTAGATTTCGGATAGATCCGTTTTTACTCAGACCTTTTTCTTGCTTGTTTATTACTTATACCCTGAACATTTTCAGTCCCATAAAGTTTTTAGTCAGTATTACAGAAATCTTCTTCCGGCAAGCTAAAATTCAAAGGCTTCTTGTGAAATTTATTATAATTATTGTTAGAACAAAACGTGTGGATTGACTGCTCGTAATTTATTATCAAATGGTTGATATCATAGTCGGAAATTGGTTTTCTTGCTGCTTGAATCATCAGTTGAAAGTATGTTGATCAATCGTGCTTTCAGAACTGATAAAGATCTTGAACGTAGCACTCCTTCTTTGACAATAAATAATACAGTGTTGAGTTTTTTCCCGGATTTTGGATAGCGTAAAGTCGTAATCATGTTGAAAAGTTTACTTTTCGCTTGTGTTCCTTTTACCTATCGTATCGCTTTCTTCTACAAATCCATAGCAACATAACAACGGTGAACTGCGACTAAATGGTAAAGCCTATTAGTAGCATCAGATATCAAGTCTTACAACTGTCCAGAATAAAAGGAACAACCACGTGACGGCGGTTATAGGAAGCAAAATACGGGTTGCGTAGTAGGAATTTGTTCCCAACATCCGTTTGTATATCCCATAGCTATCGTTCCGATAGAGGTCGAGGAAATCAATAGTCATCAGATGGACCAAGAGTAGTAAACCAGTACGACCAGACTATGTACCAACCAAAGCACTGAAGTTACACATAGAAGTGATTGCAAACATATTCTACGTTCTATTCAGAAAGATCTAGGAAGAGTGACAAGTGCCACTGACAGACTGGAAATAAAGACATTTCTTCAAGATATCAAAGACAAGACATTTGAGCGAACGTTAGAACTACAGAGGCACTACAATAAAGATTCCACAGGTATTCGGAGTTTGACAACGCTTTAACCAGTAACACCTAATATGAAGCGTACCCACCAAGTAATATCAAAAGACAGAAGCGAGGAGATCGAAAATATATTTGATAAGCTATCAATATGTTGACGATCGTTTGAACTAATCTGGTTAGCGATTGCGGCAGATGTTGAGCACGGCGTTCCCACACGTGATCTGGTGCGGATGCTTGACTGAGCGCCTTCAGCTAGATGAGCCCACTAAAACTGTGGTCAGCATCCAATCTCGAAAACATACAGAGCTATTTATTTTGGGGATTTATTTACCGCTACAGATCACTCCCCCCTAGTGGGGCAGTGATGAATTTAAGACGTGGCCAGCCAGAAGTTTAAACCCAACGAGTTTTTCGTTGGTAAACACTCTTCTGATAGCTTGCTAGGTTTAGCAGCGTCTGGTACTCTTTCCTTACTATAATGGACCATGATATTCAATATAGTAAAGAAAAAGAAATGGTACAATGAAGATTTCCGTTGCTCGCAACTTCATTGTTCTTTTTATCGTCTTTTCCACTCGTCCTGGAAACGAAAAGAAAAATATGTAAATGCATGTCGAAATACACTCGTACGCGCGTAAAAACACAAAGCAAGCGAAAAAAGGAAAATAAACTCATGCTCACGTAATAGCGTAAAAAAAGTATTTTTATAATGTGGTTGTTTTTGTTTGTTTTTTTAAATAAAAAAATAAAAATTTAAGTGTATTAAATTCTTTTAAAAAATGAAAAATTATATAAAGTACAAGGGGAAAATCGAGATGATATAAAATGTAAACTTTTATCTTGCGTGCAACAATCGTTCAAATGTTCTGAAAATCTTACTCTTCTTCCAGAACGCGCTGTTTTAAGTTTATTTTCTGATACCGCCGAAGTATCAACGTGTGTGTCGGCTGTCGTTTGAGGTATTATAAGGGCAGGAGTTGTTTCGTGAGATTGTATTGAAGGAAAAGCGACGTGAATAGGATTTCCTTCTAAATACGCTGCTTTGAAGCGACCGATACTGATGCTTTCGTTGGTTCCGTTCTTATCGATTATATAGTACTTAGGCTCGCGTTGAAGAACGAATACATCAGTTGATCTGGTGGAAACAGGTTTACCTTAACGCATTGCTTTTGTAAGCCTGTTCGTGCAGGAGGTTAGTTCCATGTTCATCGAAGAGGATGAAGGACCTACGAATCCTCTCGGAAGTCGAAGGGTCGTACCACAAACGAGTTGAGACGCAGTGTATCCAATGGCAGCTTTCACTGCATCGTGAATACCTAGTAAGACGAGTGGAAGTGCATCATTTCACTGAGAAATGTTTGAGACTGATAGTGACGCTTTTAGTTGTAGGTGAAAACGTTCTATCAACCCGTTTGCTTGTGAGTGGTAGGCAATCGTTCAGAAGCGAGTGATTCCTAATTTTGCCGTCAGACAACGGAAAAGTTCAGATTCGAACTGGTGTCCACGATCAGTAGTGATTGTTGTTGGGCAGCCGAAGTTTACTACCCATCGTTCGACGAGGGCACGGGTTACTGTTTCAGCAGTAACGTCTTTGATGGGTACTGCTTCTGGCCATCGAGTAAAACGGTCTACTCGGGTTAAGAGAAAAGAATATCCATTTGAATCTGGTAAAAATCCTACCAAATCCAAATGAACATGGTCGAAGCGAGCATCGGGAGTTTTAAACGAGCCTAGGGGGCATGTGTTATTTCTAAGCACCTTAGATTTCTGGCAGCTTACACAGGAGCATGCCCACTCCCTCACGTCTTTATTCATTCCAGGCCAGCAAAACCGTTCTGCTAAAAGGTTGATGGTTACACTAACACCTGGACGAGAAAGTTTGTGCAAAGTATTGAAGATATTGCGTCGATGTTGTTTCGGCACGATTGGGCGATCCCTACCTGTAGATGTTTCGCAAAGTAATGTTTCCTTACTTGTTCCCATCTGCTTGATGCGCAGTTTAAGTGTTGTTGAGGACAACTCGTGCTGAAGATCATTGTCTACTTTTTGAAGCTGGGCGAGTTTTAAAAGGTCAATTCCTTGAAAACTGTTCAAGGAATTTATACGAGACAAGGCGTCTGTGACTACATTGTTTGCTCCAGAAATGTGTCGAATATCTGAAGTAAACTGCGAAATGTAGTCCAATTGTCGAGACTCACGTGGTGAGTACTTGTCTGGAGATGAGCTTAAGGAGAAAGTAAGTGGTTTATGGTCGGTGAAAATGGTGAATTCACGGCCTTCGATAGAGTGTTGAAAATGCCGGACAGCACAATACATAGCTAGGAGTTCTCCACCGAATGATGGATTTTGCATTTCCACGAAGTTGGTCGGTAAGGGGTTTCATAAGGGACGCGCATTTGAGTATGCACCGTTTATAGAAACTTACTAGGCTGTTAACAGTGCACAATTGCCTGATGGTGGTCGGTTCTGGGTAATCTTGAATGGCCGGCACTTTTGTTTTAAGGGGTTGGATACCTTGTGCATCAATAGTGTGTCCTAAGAAGTCCAAGGAGTCGGTTCCGATTTGGCATTTCTGAATGTTTACAGTAATGTCATGTTTTTGTAGTCGGTCGAAAACAAGGTCTAGATGCTGGAGATGTGATACTCTGTCCGGACTTGCTATTAGACAGTCATCAACATACTCTTGTTCGAAGTTGAGACCTCGAATAACATCATCTGTGAACCTTTGGAAGGTTTGTGCCGCGTTTTTCAGACCGAAAAGCATTCGCAAAAATTCATAGAGTCCGAAGGGCGTTATAATAGCGGTTTTTGGAATGTCTTCAGTGGCCATAGGAATTTGGTTATACGCTTTATTTAAGTCGATTTTTGAAAAGACAGTTTTAACTTTCAAGGTAGCTGTCAAATCGCGAATGTGAAGCAACGGGTAACGATCGGGAATGATTTTTGCATTCAATCGCCGATAATCACCGGTTGGACGTCAATCGTCGCTGTCCTTTTTAGGGACCATGTGCAACGGAGATGCCCATGGGCTATTTGACGGTCGTATGATTCCTAAATCTATCATGTGGTCGAATTCGTTCTTCGCCAACCTTAACTTTTCGGGGGCCAGTCGGCGTGCTTTAGAGAATACAAGTGGTCCTGTAGTCGTGATGTGATGTGTAACGTTACTGGTTACACACGACAATTTTGGTTGGGATTGGTAAATGCCAGAATACTTATCGAGTATTGGTTGATAGAAGGGGTCTAAAGTGTGCTTAATAGTGACTGGAGATAACCTGCAACCAGAAAAAGAAGTTACGCCTACTAGCCTCCGTTTGACGCATCAATGATTAATTGTTGTGTTGTAGAACGTCCAAACCAATGATTGGCATAAAAACATCTGCAACAACAAAGATCGAGTGAATGAGTTTGCGTAAACCCACTTTAAGGTAAACGTACCTTTTGCCATACGTAGTGATAGGCTTTCCGTTTGCCGCCTGTAGATTTAAAACCGATTCGTGAAGCCTGTCGTTGGAATTCGCTGGTAGAACGCTAACTTCTGCGCCAGTGTAGACGAGGTAGCGAACTCTCGTTATCACATCAGTGACATATAAAAGACGACTATGTTCGTCGGCTACGGTTGCCGTTAACGCGTGCCGGCTTGGAAGTCTCCCGAAACATTTTTCTTGTCGATCGATTTTGCGTTGGGAAAATTGAAAGGGTTTTCTGCTATTTCCTAAGAACTTTCCATACTGGTTATGATGTAAGAACCAGTCAGGATTATCCGTCTCTTGAGATCTAGAGACAGATCGCCTACGTGATGTGCTTCTCCGCGGGGTAAGTGACCGTTTACGGTCGTTACCGAGTTTGAGGTAACGCGTATGTGTATGACATAGCTCTGTTATGTGATTCTGGGTCGCTCGAGGCTTTTCTTTGAATAAAAAAACCTTGGCGTTAGAAGATCTGGTGATTTCGAGAATGCGGTCGGCAGATAGAGCCAGCTTGTCTACGGCGTTGTTTCGGAACGAGACCAGCACAGCTTGCACCTGTCGAGGAAGTTTTGATAAGAAAAGCTGTTTGAATAGCCCATCATCGAAGGTTCTTTGGCCAATATCTTCACTCATTCTTTGCAACATGTCTGTGGCAGAACCGTGTTGCAGGTCGATGTTGTTAAGGAGTTGGTCTAACCTTTGCCGATTGGTTAGATCTCCGCGTTTAAGGACGGCATGTTTTAAGGTTTTGTATGGGTTAGAAACATCACTAGTAAACATACTAGGTGTTACGTACCTGTTGAATTCGCGCGGTAGTGCCTTGACTACTGCGAGGAATTGTGCACGTGTGTCGTTCACGCCGTGCTCGTAGAAGTCGGCTTCTGAGTAGCAAAACCAGGCTTCGATGTTGTCTGGCCAGAAAGGCATAAGTTGGAAGGAAGGTGGGGATACAGTGTAAAATAAGACAATGATGTATAAAATCACAAAAAGTAACAGACTCAGAGTTTGCAATTTGGTGTACCAGATCACGTTGGGCTCACCAATGAAGATTCCACAGGTATTCGGAGTTTGACAACGCTTTAACCAGTAACACCTAATATGAAGCGTACCCACCAAGTAATATCAAAAGACAGAAGCGAGGAGATCGAAAATATATTTGATAAGCTATCAATATGTTGACGATCGTTTGAACTAATCTGGTTAGCGATTGCGGCAGATGTTGAGCACGGCGTTCCCACACGTGATCTGGTGCGGATGCTTGACTGAGCGCCTTCAGCTAGATGAGCCCACTAAAACTGTGGTCAGCATCCAATCTCGAAAACATACAGAGCTATTTATTTTGGGGATTTATTTACCGCTACAACACGTCTAGCGGTGAACCAAGTTCGCTACCAGTAACTTCACATGAAGCACAAAGCAGTTTCATGTAGACGAATGGGTTGAGTCGCCTGAAGATTTATCAGTCCGTGTTAGTCTTCATTTATTATAAACTATTCAGTCACTTGTTATCAGTCCTCTGACTTTGGGATACGTCTGAGAAAATGAACTCTCCATCACCGGTTTACCACTATCTCACTGACCAGACAGAAATCCTATCCTCGATAATTTAGTATTTATTCTAATATCCATCTGCTTAAGTCAAATAGTAGGTCATGGTGATTTACGTCAATTATTTGTATTGGGTTTGCGTAAACCCACGTTAAGACAGACATACTTTCAACCCTGTGAAGCGACCGGCTCCCCGATTGTCAAATTCAGTCATACCACAAGTTAGGGATGGAATGTGAAGATATATTTAGGAGATAGTTGATGTATCAAGAAGTATATAGGCTAAGGTGACTATTTGCTTTAGGAGACTCGCAGCGCAGCGAATCCGGATGAGATCTAGTGCGAACGTTCAATGAAACCAACGATTTGAACATCAATGTCGAAGATATTCTTGATGGACCGAAGATTTTACACTTTATGACAGACGTCGGATCAGGTATGTCTGAACTATTATTACAAAACACACAACCGATAGCACTACCAAACCAGATAATGTTGAGGGATCCCTCAATATAATCGTTTCTAAAGCTCAGTAAATGGTGATAATCACTGCTGTTATAGTGGAGTCCTGATACACACAGTAAATTGCTGAAAGTGTAAACACTGGGAAGTAGTTTCAAATATACATCGAAACCCAGCATTAGCCTCCAATAATTCCAAAAGATTTGATAATGAGATTAGTGGAAGCTTACTGTAGTTTATTATAATGACATCGGAATAAAAATGCCTTAAATTGTTCAGTTACAGAGTATTGATCAAGAGGACTATTTAGTGAAGATATATGTTTATTAACAAATATTTATTAGTAAATAGATATAATGGTAAGGCGAAATTTACATGGTTGAAAATGAACGTGAAACTCATATACAAAAAAACAAATACTAGGTACAGTGTGTTAAACAGACAAACTGCCCTCTCGAAAGCTACTTGCAGAGATAAGACAATTTACAACAGATGGTATCCCTTTATTTGAAAGTCGTTTAACCTCATCAAATATATGAACTATTTGTTCCAACTGAGGTTTGTCAACTAAAAAACCATTAACCGGATTGCTATTGTTAGTTATTAAATTATCTGATACAGGAGCAACACTTCTACAGTAAGCTGATCCAACTACTTCATATGGTGTGTAGTTTAACTGGCATCCAACTTTGGATCGGAAAAACGTAACTTGGTCACGTGCAATCTGTGACCAACAAGCGTCATTACCAATCACAGCAATTGCAGGAGCATGATGACGTGCTAAAGAATCCCATTCAACTAAACTATATCCCGCTGAACCATCACCATAAATAACCCAGACAGTAGCCTATATGGGAAAAAAGTAAATGAAAATTTAGTTTTTGATAATAAACAGCTCTTAAAAACAGAATTACATACTGTCGAGTCATTATTAGAACATAGACATGAAAAAAACAAGAGGGGCACAATTACAAAGTGATTGGTGAGTCCTTCGATTATATTTGAGTTTGCTTTTTAGCATTTTCTAAATTTTGTTGTGGTAGATTTTGTTGTAGAAGATTTACTTGAAAAGATCTATGAGATGAGGTGAGAGAGAGTCTTCACTCAACTCATTCGTTAGTGCTGCTCATCTGAGCACATGAAAATACATTGATGCTCTAAAAAAAGAACAGTCATGATGAAACAAAAATAAAGCGATGTTTCAAGAATTCAGAAGCAATATGGAAAAGAAGAAAACACAGGAAGGTAGACATACGCACAAAACTAGTTGTACACTGTAGAACAGATAGATGCTAAACTATTAACGCAGAATACCACATAGTTTAAGCTCGTACACTTAGCTACATCAAACCATTATAAAAATAACTTTACATCTATACGACATCATCACAGAACATTTTTGAAGCTTGTTCTTAAGTTGTCATATTTTTTCAGTTAATCTGTTAGGAGTTAATTTTATTATATTATTAAAGAGCCATTTTAATGCCTTTTCTTATGTGACTCGCCTTTATTAATGCCTGTTTTTATAAATATAGACCCATTGACAAGCTCTTTTTTGGCTCCGCTTTTATTGGAGGATACTACGGTAACAGACACTATTAGTTGTAGACATTCCACCAAAAATCGTCGCTATATCCTGGCACGGTGAATCAGTTAGACGTGATTAACACAATTTCCCTTCTGGTAGATAATCAGCATAATCATCTCACGTTTATACATCAGTTTACGTTAAAGCAGAAATTTGCTTCGAATCATTATGGTCTTTTTCTTTGTTTGTGTTCGGGATATCGTTATCGAGGCATATGATTACCGGAATTATCCGATTGTCATATATAAAGTATTTTCAAATGTTTGTAATCATAATGATCAATTCCTTACAAGCAACTTAACTCATGTAGTCGACAGTTAAACATCAGAAATTTCAAGTCGTCATACTGTACAACTGAAATACTTAACAGAAAAACGAAGAAAAAGAATAAAGAAACCAACATCATCAACAAGAAGAAATGAATTTATCGTTGAAAGTTGTACGGAATATCTGCGATTTTTATTGGAACTTCTAGCGGAAGTATAAATATTCATTTTAAAGATGATTTTTTTAGTTGGTTAATTAAAATCTCTACAATATGCTGAACGTACTTGTTAATAAAAGAAACAAAATCCGTAAGAATAAATAAAACCAATAAAAAACTGAATTCTATTCTATAGCTGAACGAAATAATCTTATAACTCAGTAAAACTCTAAAAATGTGTTTGGAATATAGGAGAAATGCAGCTGTCATATGTTTAAACCCAAATTGCCTAATTTGTTTTATCTATATGTACTCCCTAATAAATGATTTGTAGAAACTTACATTTGGGCGGCATAGTTTAGCACCTAATGCAAATCCTCCACCAACGCCTAACGTTCCAAATGGTCCTGGATCTAACCAAGATAACGGTTGTCTTGGACGTACAATATATGCTGCTGATGCTACAAAATCTCCACCATCAGCAATAATAATACTATCTTCGGAAGAATCATTTGGTAGACCATAATGTTCCAACTTCCAAAGAACGGAAAGTGGATTGTTATGCCCAATACCTTCTACTTGACAGCTTAGTCTGAAAGGAAAATATAAAGGATATGATGAATACAGAGATTACCATTGATTATCTTGAAGTTTAGAACAAAGAAACAGAATGTTAAAACCATTCAAACCAACGATATGACTGAAGTGTTTTTCTAAATGACGGGATTTTTGACTTGAATATACGAATTTTCGAGTTTTGAATGTAATAAACTCGATGTACATGAAAATATGATCAGCTAACTTGATTAATGAAACTCAACTATTGGATTTTTTCATGAACCGGTTAAGAATATGGACTTATGGAAGTACGATAGCCAAAAAATTGTGGCCCGTTATTTAGACGTCGATAAGATCGGATGATGTTGCCGACAGGCTCACCACATTAGTGGCCCGATATCTGACTCCAATTAGATCATATGTTGATCGCTATCGAAATATATAAATCGCCTGTCCTCGTATATAATTATCGACTTAACTCGCGTCAGTGAATGACGGAATTAAACTAGGTCAGATACGAAAAAAATACGTATAAATTGTACAATCATTGATCTAGGCAGACGATCAAACGGACGAAGCGAAACGAAATGTTGCGCGGTGGGGAAGGCATGTGAGCCAACTCTCTTTAACCAAGCGCTAATCGATATTTATAGTGACACAAAAGTAAGCTACAGACGAGTGATGAGGAGTATAAGCCATACACACACACACTCATATAAAAAGTCAGGGTTATTACGTGAATAATTAAAAAGGTCAAAATGTGACTCAAAAAGAATGAATAGACCGGCCTGTCTAGAAGCTAGAATAAGTTGTATGGGCTGAACATACCAACGGACACTAAAAAATGTGTAATGCAACTTTAATGACAAAAGTCATCTAAATCACCTCGATTTAAAATTTTAAATATCTAACAGTTGACCTGGATAGTTTCCATTGGTTAAAAATAATAAACTTTCTAATTCACCGGCTAAAGTTAACAGGGTAGGCAGAATACTTTTATTGCATAGCAAATGAATGTTCTATATCCTTCAGATTTTCTTTTAACCAAAACTGCTTATAAGACCGGAGATCTTTTGGATGGATCTTTAAAAGTTCCTTATGTTAGATGATTGAAAGTAGTCGACAAGGCACTCTGAACTTATGGTTCTTGCTAATTTATGTCCAGAGTTTGACAGACAGAATTCAATCAGAACTAAAGGATTTAAAGAGAAACAACGTTCGTTAATACTGCTGAGTGAGCAATTATTATTTACAAACATCTCGTTATCATGCTATCATAACCAAGAAAATTATTGTAATAAATTTTTAGAATTAACACTGTTAAATGATCAGAAAAGAAGTCATACAGTTCAAACCCTTTTTAATTCCTCAAGATTAGGGTTAATTTATAAATATTGTTGATCTACATTAATCAAAGGATGAAAACTCATTGGTTGAATTAACCATATATTTTTACAAGAATAAGCAATGAGAATAACCTACTTAATCTCTTCATCCTGTTTTATTTCACGTGATTTTAAAGTATTTAACCATTCAGTGGAACAATTGAGTTCATTAGTAGAATTTTTTAGTTCAAGTGATAAATCTCTTAGGGTTGTTCCAACATCAGCTTGAATTGCTAGATATGGTCTCCAAAAATAGTCAGCATTCTATATTTAAATATTTAAAAATAAAGACGAATATTAAGTAAACAAGAGACGACAGAATTATTTATTTATGTAGTTTCACCTGCTTCTAACATATAATGGTAGAATTATTACACTCGTTTAATACTAACATGGTTTAAACGCTAGTATTGAAGTGTGGAGCAGAGACTCAATGGTTAAGGTGTTTGAATTTCTGCCAATAAGTCGTACATTTGAACTCCCTAAATTTACTTCAGTCTAGAGGACTGAGCAGTAGTACTAGCTCTTACACTTATATTGTGGTTTGAAGCCATGTACACGAATTTCTACCTGGTAAGTGAGTATTCATTGGACTGTAAACTAACAGCTTGTACAATTAATAAGTTACTATTAAACACTGTCCTATAAAACGTTTTAAATGAATCATGATTGAGATAAGCGGAAATTTTCTAGTTCATGTATGAAAGGCTGATCAGTGCTAATATTTCATGGATGAAATTATTCCAACAAATTATGTGAGCTTATGTCAGAAAGATCAATAATGCTTCTAATAGATATTTATCTTCAACTGAAAACTTTTAGGGTCAGTTGTGTCCATATACACCACATTTTTGAATCAATAGACGGTACATAATAATATTTTAAAAAGCATTTAATGATACCTTGTTTTGCTAAAAATTAGTAACACTAACCATTGTAGTGTTTTCGCTAATGTTACTTTACATAATGACGGGTAGCAAGCTTTGCATAAGGCATTTAACAGACATTAATAGTTATATTTAGAATAGATCTACAGTAGGAATTCTTCGATAATAGGTGGAAAATGGTTATCAGTAGAATCCAAGATTCTTCAACTGGGTGTACCTTCATCCCAGTGTGTTGGCGATTACATAGAAACTTGGACACAATAGGTTTTGCTTCGAATACCCAACGCATTACCCATTGTAATCCAGTGGGTCTAGATAGCTACATGAACGTGTTTGATTGGTATGGTACCTTTATCATTAATAGTAATGGGTTTGAATTTTGACCAATCTTTGTTGAATAATTCAAACTCACTATTAACAATGATTTACGAAAAAGATTATTACACTGTTCAAAAAGTCAGGAAATGAGCAGTGTAGGAAAAATTGTAATGGATTCCAAACATTACTGTGTTATAACACAAGAAATAGAACTTTATTGTCAAAAATATTACTAAAAAAGGAAGCAATAAATTTACAAGATATAAGTTCTTCTTATTTCGATTAATTACAACAATTTTCGCTTTTCGATTTAACACACGACCATAATCTAAACGAAAATCACAAATGGCACCTTTGAAATAAAAAAAAAACACAATAGATTGAAGAGAAGAAATTGATAGAATAGTTTATAAAATTAGAAGAAACTTAACAGGAAAATGTATATGATAGAGGCAGATATTTGATGGAACAATTCAATGTTGCATTCTGCGGTGTCCAATTCAGATAAACAGGCTTCGTATACGCTTGTTTAGCTACTGATTAAGAAACCACTATGGAGATTCAATTGGCCAAACAAATAAATAGGTACACAAATCATTGGTATACATGCATTTGTTTTTCTAGCCCGATGAAAGACATTTAAGCCAAGGTTATGACTAGGAGCATCATCGGATTTATCGATTACAGTTTATCACCACCTACTATTTGAATTTAAGATGGTATGTTATTAAAAGGACGTAATACACCTAGACTCACCCTGCTTCACATTTAGAACTATATGTCATACAAACGATCCTATCATTCTTGTCCCAAGGTAATTAATTCGATGACATAACATAAGATATCCACGAAGTAAACCATAAACAAACATTCATTGTAACTCATTTAGATAATTAATGCAAAACAATGAATACAAAAAATGTAGATTAGTGAGACAATAACCGATAATATCAAAATTCAAAACAATACCTGCGAGAATAATTAGATCGGCTTCACGAAGTGCAGTACGACGGGCATGACGAAATCCAAGTTGGTGATCTCGGCCAAGAAGACCACGAGCCATACCTGACATGTAAGTAGGTATCCCCAAGGTCTAAAAAGAAACAACTAAGGTTGAGAAACATCGTGCTGATGAATTTGTCGATAAAAATTATATGAAAAGTTAGTGGTGAAATGGAAAAAACTGTACGTAATCATACAAAGATGGTAACAGATTGCACTAATCATATTAGATAAGACACATAGATTATATAAGAGCAGATAAAGCATCTTTCAGTGTAATTGAGGCTACGAACAAACAAAATCGTTCATATTTAAGAGGGTCCGTATTTTCCGGTTATTGGTATTGGTCATTTGTTTCAGTAAGGTCTATCCTGACCAGATTGCCTCGTTATTGTTATTCCATCACTAGTTTTAGTAAAGTTGAATTATAGCAAGTAGTGGAATCCATAAAGTGCGTTTCAATTTATTTGAAACTCGTCAGGTAGATATATACCTGAATCTCAGTGTTGATATTCACATACTGAGACTCGAACCCAATGCCTATCCCATCAAATACAAATGTGTTATTCATAACTCTTGAATGTCAAACAACTGGAAGGTGGAAAAAATTGGACGAAATAATGAATAGAAACAATCACAAAAAACATTAATTTCAATCGCAGAATGTTTGCTACTGATCACTAAATAGTTGTAGTTAACTGTGCATTAGTTACATGACAATAACGTTTTATGACCTGAACATGTAAACAATAATTAGATTTTTAAAAATCACTTCACTTATGACCATTACCGTGTTTAAGGTAAAAAATTAACATAGTAAGGTACACAAAATCTACACACAGAAATACGTATGAAAACATATTTCTTCTTTACAGTATTTGTGATACTATAATTAAGTAGTTTGAGTAATTGCAATCATTGATGGGTGAGTACTTAGATCGATAACCCCTGTTAGGGAAGCCCTACTCACTGTATACACGTGGCGGATGACAGAACCAACTCCAAAGATGAGGCGTGTGCCGACAATTTCTTAGGCCAGAGTGAATGAAGAGGGATTGGAAATCGACAACCTAAACGTTGAAAGCTAAGTGCACTACTGCTTAAAAAACCACCACTCCACATAAACAAAACCCATAATTTTTTGTTAAAGATTGATTGATCTTAATGAAGTCTAAAGGCTATGATATTTAAAGTCATAATTAGTGACTGATATTGCCAAAGTGACTCCATTGAAGAGGCATAAACGGATCAAGTCAGTACATCAAACAGTCTAGTTAGGAATGTTCATGTTATAGTATGAATTTTTTAAAGGTTCTTTGGTTTAGCATCTACCATAGTTAAGGTTCCAAGAATGAGAGGAAGATTTGGCTGATAGAAAACAAAATATGCCATAGCCATTACAACACAAAAACGTCCACAACCCTCAGGAACCTACTATTCGTTGAGATGTCCGAATAACAGCTACAGTGAGTACACTATGGTATTAGAAATAGGCTGTTTAGAACTTATACATAAACTTAAAATAAACAAATACTGAATTTAGATAAATTTACTTGAACGTGAACGGCTGTGTCTTCAGCTAAAATCGGAGGTAAAACAGCTTGACTACTGATAAGTAAGATTGGCTTTTCAGAAAGTTTTATCAACTGAGCTAATTTTTTCACTTGTCTTGTAGATGGAAGTGGAATTTTCGGTGATTTGACAACAATTCCATCTGAACCGTTCGTTTTGGATGGATGTGATTTCGATGAGAAACCATTGGCGAATAAATTGAAAAGATAGAAACGTAGATACCTGAAAAAAACGAAGTGGTATAAAAATGAATGACAGACAAGTGTACGCTGTGTAGCACTAGATCTTTTAGAATTAGGTGCAGAAAGGGTAAAAAGAAAATAGGGTACTTATTTCTTGGTAAATTGAATTGAATACATTAATGAGTGGTTATCACCCTGTTATTTCATGGTATTTTCCATATATTTATCGTCATGAGCTATCTCTTACGCATCAATTACTGTTGTAGCTTACACTAGACACAAAGAAATAGTTAATTGACTATGAACAGGTTAACCAGTCTTGAAGAAAAGTAATTTGATGTTGTTAAGCTCTTTGAACTACATGACTTAATTGTGAAGCTTTTGTCTTTCTAGACATCATCAGTGCTTAATTTATGCAGAATTGAGACTTGGTGATGCTGTCCAGAATAACAATGAAAGCTTCACAACTAAGCCATATAATTCAGAGCTCAAGAACATCAGAAAGTACTCACGTGAGCTGCAAACTTTCTTCATCAATTCTTTGAAAAAAAGTATCTTACAGTACATGTAGAGATTTATAGATTGTTCTTCCTTGTGACCTGATATTTTGCTAGTATAAACATTGAGTTACGCGTCAGAATCACAAAACGCGTTTGAGATAACTCACATGGCTTTCTAATGTTTTAATTAGAGTGGAAATTTACGTGGTCTATCGACTGTATGAAAAAGTAAAATTGTGGTGTGTGCTATTGATGTCAACAAATACAAATAGCATGTATCATCAATCGAAAGTGAAATACGTGGAGACAGAAGGTTAAGAAGATTGAAGAAAAGAGAACGAGAACAGAGAATGATTGGTGTGGAAACGAAAGAACGATGAAGTCTGAGACGATTGATTGATATTCTGAAGATGAAGCATTTACTGTATGGTTCTTAGATTTTACTAAGATGTTCTGTAATTTTGTATTCAAATGCATTCGGTTGTCGCCATTTATGTTCTCGTTCACTACAAAATAACAAAGTTGATGAATTTATGGTTTAGTGGAATAGACAAGACGGTAATATTGTGGTGCATGCTACATATATTGACAGATATAATAAGCATGTAGCACCGATCAGAAGTGGAAGGCCTATCAAAAGAAGGTGGAGAAGATTGTACTGAAGAAAACAGAAATGAATTGAGAAGTGGGAGAATCATGAAGGATATAAAGGACAATTGGTGGAAGATTTGTAAATGAAGTATTTAATTTATGGTTTTCACATTTCACCAGTCTTTCTTCACTACAATATAGCAACACCAGCTGTCATGCACGTTTCTCATGTTTAGGGTAAGGAATGAAGGATAGAAACGTACTTATTTTAGCTCACAATGATCAAAATAAGCAGTATTACATAATGGGCATAAATATTAAGATATACTATGAAGAATTTTCAGTAAGAAATTAATATACAGATGAAACCACTAGTTAATGGTATATACTGGATGATAAGGTTATAGAGTTTCAATTTTCAAACAAGCAGAACAATAGTCGGTCCCAATACAGAATATATATATATATATATATATATATATATATATATATATATATATATATATTCAAACACACGATATTGTTGATAGGTACTAAAGAATAAATGGAGATTTTTTATTCTCAACTATCGGAAATCATTAGGAGTCAGCACCGTGGGACTGCATCTCCTTACGATGTTCCACTGCCTTGTGGGTCAGACCTTTAGGTCAAAGGCTCGGGGTGTGGCCTCCTAAGAAAACCACCTGCTTCGGTCTGGGTACCCGGGCAGTATCACAGCCCTCACACATATCAAATGAGATCGGTGTGGCGCATATGTATTTGGTGCCCACAAAATCCCTTCATGTATATATTTCTCAAATCATTTCGTTTTTGCTTTATTTAAAATCATGCAGTGGACTAACTGAATGCACAGAAAGCAAAAGCTGTAAGCCTGTTGGGTATGAGAATATTACTAATCTACACAAATAAACACACTCGAACTATGCAGAAAAAGTTCAATTAAATCTACTTACCAATTTACAATTTTCTGCCTTAAAGAATTTGTTTTGTCAGACAATTTAGTATGCTGTTCAACCAATTTGTATGGATATAACAGATCGATCGGAAACTCAACTAAAACTGGTCCTTAATAATTAAAAAAAGACTATTACCAAAAACATATCGCGGAAATTAGTAAGAAATTCTATGCAATTATTTCATAAGACAGATTTAAGCAAAAACAAGTACGATATAGTCTGAAGAATATATGATTAGTTTAATGTAGTCGCCCCCCACTACATATATGCATAGAAGCCAATACGTTTTTGTGAATTCCAAACTTAATAACAGACCTTAAAATTAAGGTATGAATTGTCTACCAGATAAAAAGCTGTTTGAAAGTTAAAATTCTAATGTAATTCAAGCTGAGCAGTTTTCAGAGACTTTACAAGTAATTTGAATGATAGTTTTGAAAATCATAAACCTTAAGTCACTATATGGCAACTAGAAATGTAAATATCGGTGTGATTTCAACTGGTATCATGTACATATATTTTTCGAAGATCTAAGCTGATATAAAATCAATTTATTTATGATCAAATAGTTATGGATTTTATAGCCTGTAAGGCGATTTCTTCCGATAATACCCTGTATGAAAGCTAAAATACTGTTCAGAGGTTAAACTAAAACAAGTAATCACAGGAGACTACCCTTTAGTCATTAACTTGGAAGTTTGACCCGTAAAACAGTGAAGCAACGTCAGAAAGTGCAATTTCACGGTAGCTAGGGCTCAAAGTGACGAGAAACAGTAGAGACGTTAGTATACCTGGGTAGACGTGGGTGTTGATAATAGTCAGGCAAATAAGATCACTGTACGTTTAGCAGGAGCAAGAGAAGTTTGCGCCAATCAGCACCATACCTTAAAGACACCTGCTCAGTCACAGAAATACCGGTGCTTAGTGTTGCAATGAGAACAGCTTTTTCTGGTTGGGTATGAAAGTAGTTGCATCATAAGACTTAGATGAAGTTGAAAAGTAGTGTTCAATATAATAGCACCAAAGAAGCCTAGTATCTCCTCAAAATGAAATCCAATTAAGTTATCTGACAAGTAATACGTATATGTCGATTTATATCCTACTGAATTATAATAGTGACCTTACTGGGTGATTTGTGAATTATCCTGTAATTTAACTTCCAACTTAGTTTTACATATAGCAATAATCTTACTGCCTGCAGCTTTGTATACAACATCAAGTTTAATTAGTTCCAGGAAAACCAAAGAACCTTTTCTAATTCAATAGAATTGGACCGACAATCATAATAGATGCAATAAAACATCATCTTTCGTCATCTACAGCCAAAATATTTGCGATGAACAGTAATTATGTTAATAAATATATTAACCACTGGGAGTCGATAAATTTACCAGGAGTATCCGATTGTGCAATATAAAATGCTTCACAAAGAACAGGGATAATCTCTCTGACGTAATCTATACGTCTGCACCATTTACAAATTGGGCGGAACACAGCAAGCTGGTCGATATCTTGAAGTGATCCACGACCACGTAAAAGTCCAGAAGCAGCTCCAGCTAGAAGGACTACAGGAGATTCAGCCATCTGAGCATTCTTTACTGCTGTCACTGTATTAGTAAGACCAGGACCTATGATTTAGATGAAGAAAAAGTTGAACATTTTACTAGACCAACTTTACTACAAAGAGAATCATAAATGTATGACTTGGTGACTTCCAATCTAAATGTACTTCTTTGTTGGTGCTAGATGTCTAGATATGGAAGCGAAACTGCATAGAACAAACTTTCTATACTCAAAATTTACACAAAGCTATCCTAGTGCTTAGAAGACTTGTAAGTCGGTAATCGATTGTAGACTTGCGTGCTTAGCTTAGAGCCACAAATACTATGTAAGGGTTGGAGACATTACTAAACTCTCAAAAGTAATTTAGATGAAACAATGTTATAGTTTGTGAAGCAATCAATGAGATTCAAGAGGTCAGATCATTGATTACTTAAAATAAACCTGTTAGGTCATCGATTTTCTATAACCGTGATAGCACAAATGTTAGCCACTTTATACATTCGGACTAAAAATCACACTTATGGTAATAAGATTACTGATGAACTAAGATTGAGAAAACTAAACTGGAGTAGAAACTGACAATAATTGAAAACCTAAACTACTAAGCAACATACTGAATAGTTTGATGATTGGAGTAAACAGTTTACACCTCACACCCTACACCTTTGAGTACGTTAGGTACCTTGCAAAACTCGTATGACAAACATTAGCTATAAACGTTTTTAACAAGAACGTTCAGTTGATTTAATTGCGGGAATTTTTAAAGATGGCTGATGGTGGTTGGTTGGGGTAGTTGATAGTCCCAGTGTAGAGAAAGTACATTCACTTGTGATAACCACAAATTGATCAGTATGATTGGGATAGCGTAATCTATTAGCTTCTGTAGCCATTTGTCTCTCAGAAATAGAACATTTGATAAAACCAGGCATACTTAAAACCCCACTGAGAAAATATAAACCAAGTATTTTTGAACAAAAGGACATTTTATAATAATCATTAATTCTTGTATCAAGGAATTGTTTCAACTAACTTAAAGCTTCTTACCTAAACACAAGTGATCAAATAACAGCTAGTGGGAAAGAGCAATTGAAATCGAATGCACTAAGTGTCTTATATTGGAGAGGCTAACTTTGTTCGGTCTTATCAAAGATAGTTTTGAGTTATTGGTGATTAATCGATCATGATATAAACTTTAGAGATAAAATAGTTGTGTCTAGTGAAGTCACTAAAAAATTTCGATGATGACGGAGTCCGCGACGGAATTTTCTTTTTACAGGTGTCAAACGTTGTTTACAGGCTGTTTTTCATGAGTGCAGCCTTACAATGAAGGGTCAGCTAGTCAGACACGTTGATGATTTCACTTATATTTATAGTCTCCTTGAATTGAGTGGGTTGGTGACTGGTAAAATTTCAGAATAAGTGGAGTAAGTTCTGTTTTATTAAAGCTATTTTCCGTGCTTATTTAGGTAATTTCTAAAAAAACACAAACCTCAAGTGTAAAGAGATATGTGCAGCCAGATCGCCACATGTTACTGTAATCCAAGTGCTGTTCTAAGCATTAAAAAAGCGAAAGGAAATGGCATTTGAATAAAAATTTACCTGCTGTAACAACAGCCACACCAACGGAACCAGAAAGTCTTGAAACAGCGTCGGCAGCAAAGACAGCAGAAGCTTCATTTCTTACATCTATCACACGTATATTTTCTTTTTCTGAAGCAACCAATATAGGTGATATGTGGCCTCCAGTAAGCGTAAAAATAAATGGTACATTATGCGCCTACAAATCTATCGATATGGTGTTACCTTACCTTTAGGACATCTGCAACCAGCTCGCCCCCATAGTGTCCTGAGCTTTTATCGATCTATCCATAAAAAATTGCTACCAACAAAAAAACTTACTTCGAAACGAAAGTGCCTGCGCAAGCCTTTAAATATAAAAAACAGTCCGAAAACTATGAGCGATCCAGTTGCTAAGAATGACATAGTGATACGATATCTGAAAAGCAAGAGAATTTGAACTATCGTTTGGTGTTTGAAAACATGAAGGTGCATACTAACAGCTACAATTCCAAAATAAACGTAAATTAACTGGAAAAACATGAAGTATATACTTTTATTCAGGCTAAACCAAAGGCGAAGAGCTTACTGAATTATTTCATCAAAGTGTACACTAAAGTTCTGACTACTTGTATAGCATCACTAAAATTATACCCAAACACTTGCATCAAAATAAGACATTCCACAGGCATAATAAAACTTAAAAGTGGCCAAAAACAAAAAAGCGGGGGACAGTCTGGACGGAAGTCTGTGAAATAAGATGTACCGTAAGGTGTGATTTTAGATCTATTACTTTCACTCTATGTCCATGAATTAATAAATTTATTGAGTCTACATTCGTGTCCATAGGTAATGTAAAGGATTTTTAAGAAATAAATGGCAATCCAAGCGAGTTTGAGCTTCAAGGTGATTTAGATGAATGAATAGACCAATAGTTGATAGATTAAAATAATCATATCAAGATTTCAGTAATGCACAACGAACACCAGTTTATCGTTAATGGATTATTATTATGATCTCGAACAGCAAGACTCGCAACTAATCCATGACCTGAAAACAAATATACACTACGATGCTGCTGAGGCTAAGAGGTTGAATGTTGAGGTTGCATCGATATCGTAATTTTGAGTTCCGAATATGTGTGATATCGACAAGTGTTGCAGGCGAGCAGCTAGCCAATGTATCACTAAAGACCTTAATATTTTAAGGCGTTTCCAAAGAGTTGGTTACTGGAATTTCCAACATCTCTGACGAGTTTATATTCGAAGTTTCCAAAACTCAAACAAGAATGTAAAAATAGAACCAACGAAAACCGGCTTTAAAAAGCCAGGGAAGTCATTATTATCGCTACAAAGACATCGAATGAACGTAAATGCACAACCTATCAAATTATCGTGTGGTGCTAAAGTATCAAATCATGAAAAGCCAATACATTATAAGCCAAATATAAAGTATCTGGATGAACCAAACAAGTTTCGGCGCAAAAAAGTTGATTCCAGATAACTTTAGTTCATGACGAAAACCCCGGTAATGCATACGTACGTTCGCTGTTCACTAAGAAACTGTCTATCAATAAGAACTGTAGTGTCTTTTAATCACGAATCATTTCATAACTAAACAATGTCAGTTCGTTGGCTAAAGACCCAAGCAAACCAAGTAGTGGGAGCGCGCCAAAAGTCGCCTTTGACGCCTACCGTGATAAAATTGTGGAGATTCTCTATTCTTTGTCACACTGAGAGTAGGACTGTAATTTATGGACGACCTTTTAGAGACGTTAGCGATCCTGAGAAAATAAGCATACTTATAAGGGTCAAAAGAGGGTTACATATTATTATGAGAAACTAGAATATGAAGAACTATAACTATAATTCAAGGTTATGAATAAAATTGCACATTTTCATCAAGAACTGACATCAGCTATAATTTCAAAATGTTATTCAATTATAAGGTTGTATAAAGTTTTCGCCCAAGTCCAAGACATGCTATACTAATTTCATTGGTTCGTCCATAAATTATAGTACCGAAAATCAAAACTGGGGGAACAGAAAATAAGCCCGCTGGCTGAAGGTCAAATTATTAGAGTCCTAATTTTGTACTTAAACAATAGTTATATTCAACAAAATTCTGAAGATCAGCATGGTTAAAAGCGTGGGACGTAATAATCACCTCAATTTACGGGTCTATTTTGAGTCTTCTTCTGTGGAACTGGTACAACTGTCTATCAGACATGTACCAAGTTTTCAAATGGTTCAAATGGTTGCGGACGGAATAGAAGAAGCTTTCGCTTAACAGGCTTCCGTGTCTGATAGCAGGGGATCACCAATACCTCCAGGCAAGAACCTAGGTATATTAACGATAAAAGAGAAAGAAAATGAATTGGTAAATCATAGTAGGATACTATCCTTAGTCCTTAAGAATAGATCAAGTCGCCTCTTAAAGGACTCCTGGGAAGTTGCTTGGACTAGCTCAGCTGGCAGAGAATTCCAGCATTTGACAACTCTTAAGGAGTAGAAGTTGTGTCTGCAGTCCGTTCTACTATGTTGTATCTCTAATTTCTGGGTATTACCCCTTAGGTTAGTGTTGGGACTAAGCTTAAGTAGGTGTTTAAGAGGGTGTCCAGGTGTGTTAAGGATACTGTAAGCCATTAGAAGGTCACCTCTAAGACGCCTATACTCTAATGGGTAAAGGTCGAGTGATTGGAGGCGCTCATCGTAAGGTTTAAATTTGAGTTCCCGAACTGATTTCGTGGCTCGCCGTTGGATACGCTTCAGAGTGTCCTTATACTTTTGGAGTGTAGGAGGGAATACTATGTTCCCGTACTCTAAATGGGGACAAATGAAACTACTGAAGATTATGTGGAAAGTTCTCCCGTCAAACTGACCAAAAATGCGCTTCAATGTTACCAGTGCAAGGTTTGCTCTAAAGGCATTTTTGTCACAGTTGGCGTAAGACTTTAGGTCGTAGGGCACAATTCATATTTATGTATCAAAGACGGAAGATGAATAGTCTATGTTGTTTCCTTTCTACTAAAGTCTTTTGGTTGCCTTTAAGCCCTAAAAACACATTTTTCGTGTACTCCAAGTTGTCCTGAGCTTAATGTCAGTAAAATAGATGCATCTGAGGTTCAAAATCAAGTTGGATCACTCCTCAGTCTAAGAGAAAACAGAGTAAAGATTTCTGGTTTCTTGAATCGCACTGCAGATAGCAGGGCACGGATCCCCAAAATTGCACAGGAAATAGTCCTCTTTGCCTTTCCCGAGGTATCCATACCACCATTGATAACAGTGTTTTGTGACCTAATTTTATATCCCACTGGAGCCGTGTGTATTTTGATTAGCGTATTTATTTTGAGGTTGTTATAGTAGACGCCGTAGTAAACACAAGTTTTGAATGCATATATTTTGTATAATTGTTGATTAGACAAACGAACGGGAGAACGACGCGAAGAGAAGAAAGCGAAGCAAAATTGACGCGCGGTGGAGATGGCTGGTAAGCCAACTCCCACTTAACAAAGAGTTAATCAATATTTATAAGCACATCAAGATAAATTACAGACATGTGATGAACAGTGTGATAGGAAGTGTACACACGCCCACGTGCTCATACAAAGACAGTCAAGATTGATTAGCGAATAATTTACAAGGTCAAAATATGACTCAAGTAGAATGAATAGATTGAGATGTCCGAAAGTTGGAATAAGGTATATGGGCTTAACATAATGACAGACACTACAGAGGTAAGATAAGAGGGACTAACGCTGCTCCAGAGCTGAAGTTATTTACAGTTGCGAGTACTATATTCACGAAAATACGCCTTACCACATTTGTAGACATTAGCTCATCGAGCTAATGTATAGTTGTTGAAGCCTTAAAACCTTTCTTAATACATAAGAGACTGATAGTCCCCTTTATTTCACTGGGAAGAGAAGGAGGAGTCTTAAATATGGAGAAATATAATTCCTTCGTAACCTCTAAGGAACATGAAAGCATTAAAATAAAGTCTACTAATAAATTACAGAGAGATAACACCTAGAGTGTCTTACTTCTGTACCTCTTGCATCAACTTCATTATCAGGCCTTCGAAAGGTTAACTTTACTATCGACTACGGTATGGAACTCCACGGATTATGATGGATAAAATACTTTCCCATCTTTTAGTGAGTTTTCTTACGCATTGAACGTTAGAGTGACCGACCTATCATCTCTTTGCACACCGATACAATTGTAAACTTTTCTTGTCAACATAAATAGAGTCATATTCACTAGATCATAATGTCTTTCAAAGATAGTTCTAATACCATCCTAGTCAATTTTGTTGTCGATTTTTTATGCGTTTAGTGGGACCAGTGATTAAATCATGCGACGACACTGTCCTTTAAATGTATTCCGGCATGTAAGTGCTTTATTTCGACTAATAAAAAAGCTCCGTTGATTAGTAATTCTTTGTATCTAACATCATTCAGGTCAACTGACATTGATCTTGGCGACGCGTTCCTCATAAGTCATTCAAGATAGGATCTGAGAAAAAGAATAGTAAGAGTTTGGCAATCTATTTTGGGCTTATCTGCATTTACAACTTTTTTTGGACAGTTCTAGTTTACAAGTGAACAACGAATCAAACGACAATCGAGATGATTGGTTGGTTGCAGGTGGGCTTTCACATTCATTCGTGCTGAATTGTATAGTAAAGACATTTTAGTTCAAATGAAATGCTACCGATGGGTTATTTCCTGACTTTTTTCATCCGCAAGCAACTCCACTGCTTTAAATAAGCGACACTTTTCCCTTCAAGGTATTTGCTTTGGGGGTAGAATTATAGGTAGTTTTTAATTTTATTCTCGGTTTCGGTGACTTGTATGCGTAAGATCTGTGAGAGTTTATCTCGTTTATGAAGACGAGATATCTTTGCTAACGAGACGAGTAAGTTTATTTCGATAACAGACTTCATCAATACTATAGTAAACTTCAAAATGTCAAACAAGACACTCAATTCAAATTGGTCTAGACCACTGACAAGACACACGTGGGGACTCGAATTGGAAGTACGGAGTACAAAATGTGTCTCAGCTGTTATGTCAGGCTTAGACACAGTAACGAACAAAATACCAATATTCAGTTTGAATGCAGAACTAACGAACCAAAGTAAATTGAATTAGGTCAAACTACTTTCTTCTGCAAAGTGTATAAAGCGTTTTTGAGTGACTCGTATTAAATCAAATCAAAACGCAAACTCTATGTTACATTTAAACTGTTGTAGTTTAAGAAAGAGAATAAGTTATATCAAAAGCAACGAAGACCTCAGACGGTACAGCCTGTGCTATAAAGTCAAGAGTTTATCGAGCACAAACTAACATGCTAGTCAAGAAGAGAAATAGTTAATAAACAAGGACTCAATACCTGAGAATCTATAAAAATATTCCCAACAATATATGATCAAATGTGTATCTGCATGGATTCCAACAACCTTTCCAAGGAAAAAACGTTCAACGGTCATTTACTGGTCTAGAGTTTAGTCAAACGCGACCGTATTGTCAATGATACGGCAATGTGAGCAATAAAACCTGAATCTTTAACCAAAAACAAATAACAAAAGCCACGACAAGGAAGACGAAGAACATAAAGTGTGGTTGAAAAGGACTCTTTAAAACTGTACTTCTGGTGGTGTTTTATTCGCTAAATGAATTCGAAATCTGTGGGAATTATGGTGTTTAGCTGGGTTGTAATGCGTTCGAGAGTGTCCTTCATTATGACGTTAAAGTAGAGTTGCCGATGCATTTTACTAGTTCTAATAGACTACTTAGGTTTGTTGGTATAATAACACAATAGCTGGAGCGAAATGTTCTGCTAAACCATTAGATTCGGAATACCGTTATACTGTTAATAAATAACAACATCCATTATTGTTGGATCATCTGCTAAACTTTTCCTGTAAGATGTGTCTCATTAACATTTCCCGATACATTAGGTACCTTTGCACAACCTGGTAACTTCCTCATCACTCTTCTACAAGGTATTTGATTAACCTTTTCATGGGTACGATTTCTGGCTATTTAGAATATAGATAAATAATAATGGTATGATGTAACAACTTTAAAAATGGCCATAGGAGTCGACATGAATACGTTACCACGATTCATAAGATGCAGGCCAACGATAGTCCATGTGTGCACAAAGAAGAATTTTTCGATTCTCCATGTATAAAGCATCAAACTCAAGCCGCCAACAAGCCTGACGAGCACGGAATTTCATGTTCTATGCACCTAGAGAGGTGTAGCAAGGTTTTTCTGCCACAGCAAATCCCAGGGTCTAGGAATCTTTATTTACAAGTAATATGATGCCTCATGGTGAGTGCCGAGATTCTTCAGAAGTACTGGGTCAGATTCTACTTCTAAAAACTATAACAATGGTTAATATAGGCACATGGAATTTCCAGACATTGTGGAAGATCGGGACGACCAGCCAAGCAGCCATAGAAATGAGGGCACAAAACTTGGTCGTGATCAGAATAAAAGAAACCCATTGGACCCAAGCTGAACAGCAAAGGTTAGATTCGGTACTCTGCTCATGGAGAAGAAAATGCTCCACACACTTAGGAAAATGTCCGGATGTTGTCCAAAGTAACCTGAATAGCACTTATAGGACGGTAGTCTCATAGACCCAGAACCATCACAATGAATTTTATCCAATGTTATTTATCCGCCAATGAGGTCAACAGTGACGATAAAGATCAGTTTTACTAGGGGCTGTAATCGGTTAGAGCGAAGCGTCCAGGAAACGACCTGAACATCTCCATGGTAGACATAAACGCCAGAATGGAAGACACTGGGTATCAAGATATCATAGGATGAAATGGACCGGAAGAGAGGATCTAAAATGGGAAGAGATTCGCAACTCTTTGTGCACTCAACAAAGTAGCTATAGGCGGCACAATATTTCCACACAAACGAATACACAAAGCTACATGCATCTCACTGAACCACACCACAGAGAACATGATCGATCACATTTACATCAATGAAATATTCTTAAGGTTAATGAAAGACGTAGGGACCAGGAGAGGAGCTGATATGACTCCAGGCCACCCTCT